GTGGATAAAGTTTTCGGGCCACTGTTTTTAGCTCATTCCGGGCCACTTATATATTTTCTGGTCAACAATTCATCAGCAGAGCTGGCTTAGATGGCCGTGTAAGTGTTAGTCGCAGTGGAGCTCGATTCGTGGACCTCACTTTCGGTAGCAACTTTGTGGAATGTTTTTGCGGCGACTTAATGTGTATAAATTTTGTCAAAAGTGTAGCAAGGCATTCAAGAATTTCTTGAATTGTGTTTTGCGAAAGTTTTCTGTGCAGTTATTTAATTGAATTTGCCACCGAAAGCGCTGGGGTAGCTACAAATGCACTGAGAAAAATTACAGTTTGAATTGAGAATTCATTTGTAAGTTGCATAAATTAATAGTACCAATTCAACATCTTAAAATACTTATTTTGAATGTTTATATGATTTTTAATCAATTGAAAAATCAACTGTCTTACAGTGAATTATTTTTTATTACATTTGACCAGAAGGACTCATTCGTTCTTTTCATAATTTAGTTAAATAATTAAATATTCTTAATCCTCCCAAAGACTGTTTTCGAATCATTATCGTTTTTAATTACATTTTTCTCTGTGCATGTCCCGTCACAAAACTTCAGTTCTTAAACTCTGTGTGTGCTAGTTCGTAATTTCTCGTTTAGATTTGGCCTCTCTGTTCGGTGAGGGATAAGCGGAAATAATGTGGCTGAAATACAGGACTGTTGGCTGCACTCGCCAGTGTTTCGAAAGTTTTTACGATTGTTTATTAAGGAACTAAGCGCACTTAATAAGATTATGGACAGGGCGTGGTCATGCTTGTGCTCTTCGTAGCACTAAAAATGCTTGCCCTTCGCAAACAATTCAAATTAAACTGGAAGTCCAAAACGCCCAACTGACAGACATTCCGTTCGAGTTTGGCTTTTGCATTTGCCGCTGACAGCCAGCCACCAAGAAATGTCGGCAAAAAAACACAGAAACACATAAGAAATGGGAGTGTGCTGCTGCATTGTAAAAGTGGAATTCGCTTTAAAATAACATTGCATAACTGCAGGCGCTGCTTTCACTCAAAACGAAAGGAGCTGCTGAGTTGGTAAAAGAACAAGCAAATTGTGTTTTCGCAATATTTGGTCAGTGGTCGTTGGCAGCAACATTAAAGCAATTAATGGTTATGAATTGTAAATATTAAGCACACAGTTTCAGTGTAATGCTATATTAAACTTAAAGCTGAAAGGGCGGTAAAAGTTAAAGAACAAGATCACATTTTAAGTGAAAAATTCAGTCTGCGAAAATAAGTAGGGAAAATGAAACAAACACAGAACGGTAGTTTAAGTAGGATATAAATTAATATCACACTAAAAGCTTGTGTGGGCTTTTCAACGAAGTGCATTTGCAAATGGCACAACGTTATTCCTATTTAATCATCTTATGGCTATTTCGGCCACTCGGAATGTTAATGGTGTCTAAATGCAATGCAATGCAATGCACTTAAACAGCTCGAGAGCTTCAGAATTTGTTAATCTGGGGCAATCTCTTAAAAACACTTCTCAATGTGATGGAATTTGAAGAGATTACGATTAGAGCCTCCTTCTTATGCTGCGGCAAATGATCATTATCCCTGTGTAACTATCGAAAGGATGAAATAAACATTTTCCATGGCCTGCTGTGAAATAAAATGAAATCAGCAAAGGCAAAAGCAAAAGCAAAAACTCGCCGTTTCGTGTGTGAGGGAATTTTAATTGTGTGGAAGCATGAAGAGGCGAAGGATTCAGCTCCTTCAACGCTTTCGAGGACGTCGCTTTGCCGAGGAGGACTGCATTCCCCTGTATAATTTTCTTCATTTAATCGGATTACGGCAACGTCACAGCAGGAAACACATATGTATATACCGTATATACCATATATACCATATATACCATACTCATACTCTTAACCAAAACGGCACGTTAATTCGTCCTTGTGTAAATACATTTATGGCCAAAAAAAGATTTAAGGCAAACACGGTGCACAGATTTAATAATATTAAGTGACATCTGTTGTCTTGGCTGGCGGCAATCGCCTTGGTTGTTTACGACAACCGTAGCCACCAGAAACGGCAGAAATTAATTGGTGCCACGCCCCCTTTTCCGGCTGCTCCTGCCAACCAGATATATCCAACCATATTCTGACCAAAGTGCGTGGGCGTGCATTTAATGCCACTTTGATTTTCACACTAGCGCGACCAGAAGCCTCCAGCTTTAATGTCCCCATTCAACCTACGCGCCCCCACACCCCCCTGTTTTCCACATGAAACCACTTGGAGCTATGGTAGCAGCCCCAAAAGGGGGCGTGTCACGCCAAGGGCGGACTTAATTACGCACGTATGGCTGTTTAAATTGGGTTTGCCATCGGGTCGGGTATGTTAGTTTTATGTTAATTAAGTATTGTTTATGTCAATTAGGGCGATAGCGGAATGGAGATGGGGGAATGGGATACAAATTGTATTAGCTTGAGCGAAAAAAATGGGAAATTAATATGGCTCTACGAGGTGGCAACCGACATCTTAATAGGGTTACATACAACTGAAAAGGTTGTGAGCTTGTATTAAATATACAATTTAGATAAGCTAAATTTTGGTTAAGAAAGAGGAAGTAATCAGTTGGGGTTGCCCAAGCGATTACAACTTGACGATAAGGGATTATGTTTGGTAAGCAAATAAGCATAGATTGCGTTTTGGCTTTTGTATACAAAATATGTATAACAACTAACTTTTGGCTTAGAATCAAACAGCAAACTTTATAAAATCTAGATAGGGGATAAGCAAATTGAGGAAATCTAACCTTTAAAGACAAATTGTTATTACTTTGGTATATTAAAACATCATAGCCAAATAATCCTTACCATGAAAATCTGTTAATTTCCTTGAATTACATTAGAAGAGTGATGTTAAGCAGAGGTGCTCAGTAAATCAACTTTCACCTTTCACCCAGCATGCCAGCATTAGTTAGAACCTGTTCGGGATTACGTAGCATATCACAGTTGAACCTCTGGCCCGAACACGATTTTGAAATTGAATCCAGGCCCAGCCAAAGGAATCCATCTCACAAAAATGTGACACAAAAGCGCTCGACAGAGAAATGTGGCAAGTGTCGCCGCACAAAGCGAGCGACTAAGACACTCGATAGGCTGGTTCCAACCCAATCCAGATTTCCTCCAGCTTGTGATGTAACGCCAGTAGCAGACGTTGCCATTGACAATGGCATATGGTTACTGAAACATCTGTGTGCCTCGCATCTATCATACACGTACTTATATTTCTCCCCACTTTTCATTCCACTTAAGCTGCCTTAAACCTATTTAATTTACGTGATGTTAAGTGTCTCGGGAGCATTTGGGGCCACTCGACATTTTAGCATAAGCAAATTTTAATATGTTTAACTCATTTTGGTTGGTAGCATGGCCAGGCTGGTGGCGTTAATTTTTAACGGGCTGCTAGCTGGCCTTCATTTGTGGATGTCTAGGCCGACATCGTACATAAATGTCAACCGACGCGCTCATCCATCAATGAGCTCTGAAAAATTAACACTCTGAGTGACAGTGGCAAAGGACTTTCGCTTCACGGAGCCCTTTTTGCGAGTGCCACTGGAAGTGGAAGTGGCTGGCTGTGTGGCCTGTCGCTTTAAATTATGCAAAACGTTACAATTCCTCGGCTCGTGGCTTGCCAAAGGTATAGCTGAATGATGAATTGTGTTTGCCAACTCTTTGCCGGTGTAAAAGAGGGGAGGTCCGAATTGGGAATTTGCGGCTACGAGGGCAGTTTCATAGATTAAATTTGATTATGCTACATTACCCGACAACGAGACCGCTACGTGATCGACTTACGGCCGGCAATCGCAAAAGGCCGTTAAGCCATGCCGCAGCGAGGCCAAAAAACTAAAGGGATTATCATTTTTAAAAATGGATGAGAAAGTTTCGGTGAAGCTCTGGGGGCGATTAAGGGAATGTCCCAAATGCCAGGACCCAACTGAATTAATTATCTGTTCTGAAATGCATTAAAACTATGTCAAGCTAAAGTCCTACGCTTAACAAAAGTTTACTAATTGTTTGCTTTTAAAACAACACACATATTTACTCTGGTCATATACTGCTGATTAATTACGCTTTAGACTTGTGTCCTGACTAAGAGTTCACTAGTGTGTTTTTAAATATATTAAATACCCAAATAATTTAACAAACTTTAAAATATGTGTTATATATAAGTTTTTACTTTTAACTACCACCAATCCTTTAGTTGCTTTTTTTTAATTAATTGGGGTGAAAATAACATTTTCTTGTTTGCTAATGATTTACAATTATTTTTATCAGTGCAATATTTTATGATTAAATGTGGTACTTCAAGCTCTTACAGTTCACCATGATTAACTAATGGAATTCAAAATACTAAACGAATATTGCCTTGCATTAAAGTTGGTTTTCAACTTTTACTTAAATTGAAATAAAGTTTTGCGAAACCAGAAAAAACACTTAAGCTTACTGGACCATTCTTAATGACTCATTAATTAGAGCTTGACTCGGCTCAATTAGGAAAAACCTTGGCGTTTTTTATTTTCTTGACTTTCTTCAATCTTAGCTCTTATTCGATTCGCTCTTCAGTCTCCTAACATTTTAAGGCTGTTTTCCATCACTCACTCTGCACATGGCACAAACACCACACGACATTGCCACCAACATACCCACCACCACCACCACCCATCACAATCCCCGGCCCCGCTTGCTAATATGTTTTTTACGAATTTCTCTCTTCTCTACTTCTAGTTGTGCTTTTGTATTTACCAATTTTAATGAGTGTAGCAAGCAAACCAAGCAAAAAGAAAAACAAAAACCAAATCCAAAAAAAAAAATCAGAAACAGAAACTGAAACTGAAACTGAAATCAAAAACTTTAGCAAAAGACAACAAAAAAACACAAGAACAGAGCATTTTGTACAACCAAAAAAACACAACAACCAGCTAGCAGGTTCCCATCATAATCATCATTAAGCCACGTAAACAACAACTACAACAACAAAAACTCATTTGAATTGCAATAAATAAAACAACAAGAACAACAAGCACGTACACAATGTGACAATAAAACAGTGAGCGCAGTAGCAGCTAGAAAGCTAAAAAGGAATTTAATTGCACGCACTAGACGAGAAGTAGCTATAAATGAAGCAGCAAAAACAGCAAAAACAGTCAAGAAATCCAAAACACCAAAAACAGCAGAAACAGTGATAAAGCCAGAAACGCACAAGCAGAGAGAATTCGGCAAAGCGGCCGCAGAAATTATACAAAAACCAAATCAAGCCAAACCAAACCAAACCAAAACCAAACCAAAACCAAAACAAAACCAAAACCAAACTTCCCTGTCTTGCCGAATGTCCTTGCACCTTTAAGCTCTCGCTGTGTGTGTACAATCCCGTTCACATATGTGTGTATGTGTGTGTGTATCCCCAGCCACCAACCCCCAATCCACATCCGTACCACGATCGGTGTCCGTGTTTGTCGTGTAGCACCACCTAGAACAATCCAGCACTATCAAATCAATTCAAAAATAAAATAGAAAAGCACCCTTCAACAATCACAAAATATATACCACCTGCAATACCAGCAACACTTGCAACAGCAATCGCAAACGCAATCGCAATCGCAGTCGCAGTCGACACTGCGGTGCAGCCACCTTGAGAGCCAGTTGAACCACCGATCTCTGGGGCTGACAGGTCAGAGTGAACAACCCTAGCCAATCCATAGCCACCTGGTAGCTCCCGATAGCTCCCCCGATTGATCCACTCCACCTAACCACATACCAGCACCACAATTGCACATTACTACCATAGATATCCCCGGCAGTACTACTACCGCATGGAGCGCGGCAGCAGCGGTGGTCAGCAGTCATCGCAGCAGCAGCACCACCAGCAGCAACAGTCGTCGTCGCAGCAGCACCACCAGCAGCAGTCGTCGCACCATCAGCAGCAGTCGTCGCACCATCAACAGCAACGACACCATCAGCATGTGGTGGCCGTGCACAGTTTCGATCCGTATCTGACCGCCGGCGGGGCGGACGAGGAGCACACGTCGGGCACCTCGTCCTTTGACAATCCCGCCACCAAAAAGAAACCGCCCAAGCTGAAGCCCATCCATCGATCCCTGTCCATGGCCATCGATAATTATGCACCCTCTTCCGGCGATCTCGACATGGATTTGGATATGGAAATGGGCATGGAGATGGGCATGGACATGGACCTGGACATGGAGATGGATCTGGAGGGCGAGGGCATTGTCATCAGTGAGAAGCCGCTGATCCACCGCTCGGCCTCGCCCCTGCCCCATTCCCGATCCGGCGCCCTACCCCCGCAGACCCTAGCAATCCCAGCACAACAACAACAACAACAACACCATCCTAGTCAGCGTGGCATGGGTGGTGGTGGTGGCGGACCCGGCAGTGGTGCCGTTTCGCCAGCCCTATCTGCCCGCCAGCAACACCATCATCTCCTCCAACAACAACAACAACAACACCAGCAACACCATCAGCAACAACAACACCAGCAACACCAACAACAACAACAACAGCAACATCAGTTGCATTTGCACACTTTTCAGCAACTTGCTGCACAGGCAGCTGCTGCCCGGCATCAACAAACAACCCACCAGCAGCATTCACTATCGCACCGCCAACATCCGCAACAACATACGCATCCACATCAGCTTCAACATCCGCATCCGCATCCGCATCAGCATGCGCACTCGAAGAGCTCACCAACCTCACACGCGGTTAGCCCGGTGCTGGGCCAGCAGCACCGCCAGCAGCCGGACATTTACCTGGTCAGCAGCAGCAGCAGCCTGGGCGATGGTGTCGGTGTGGGCAGCTTGGGTGTGGGCGTAGGCGGCATGGGCCTGGGCGTGGGCCTGGGCGGCATGGGTATGGGCAGATCGTTGGGCGGGAGCACATCGCCCATTCAGTTTATCGATATGGACGATATGCCCAATCCAACAATTGCCCCCGCCCAACGCCCAATGCACACGCATCCGCTGAAGAAGAACCTATTCCGGCGATCCGACACCATTGACGTCCATCCGTCTACCAATTTTCAGATGAAGAAAACGCATTCCTTCCACGCGCAACAGGATCCCGCCGCCCTGGACCAAATACAGCTGGCCGTTGCAGCCGGCTCGGGGGCCTCAAGTCGTCGCACCAGTTCGGTGAGGGGCAACTTCCTAATGCCCGGTCCACCCGCGGGCGCCAAAGAAATATCCCGTTCGCCTTCGCCGAGCCGAAGGGGCTGTCGTTCGCATCGATCGTTCAATGATCCGGCTCGAAGGCCCAGTGTTAAACCGGAATCGGTGGTGGAGTCGCAGATACGACATCCATCGCTGAACGATGACCTAATGGAACCGATGAACGGACGCAATCTGTTTGCGGCACCCACCAATCTGTCGCTGGAAAATGAACTCTTCGTGGATACACGTTCGCGGAGCAACAGTCACACCAAAATGGAGGAGCTGGGCCTGGCGGAGATCACTGCCGCTGCCGTCGCCGTGCAGCGATTGCGCAAGAGCTCCGGAGCGGGATCCTTTGAGGATACAGCCGCCGGCCATAGTGCCACCCACCCGCCTTCCGCTGCGAATAGCGTTAAGCAGAAGCGGGAATCACACCACCCCCACACCCGCCAAGTGAGTACCCACAGTTTGGAGCTGGACGGACGTCCCTCGACTTCGGCGGCAGCAGCAGCGGCGGCCGCCGCGGCAGGCGGACATGGCCTGCAGCTTCACAGTGCGGCGGCGGCGGCCAGTGCGGCGTACCACTTCAAGCGGGGCGCCCAGATGGGTCGCTCGCTCTATCTGTCGCCCAGCAATCTGGAGGAGCTAGCCGTCCACCGGCCAGGTGTTCTAGCAGCAGCAGCGGCCTTCCAGGGCACCAATGCCAGTGCCAGTGTCAAGCAGGCCAAAGCCCTGCACAGCGCCAGCGTTCGACTGCGCAGCTATCGGGAGACGCTGAGCGCCTCCAAGAAGTCCAAGAGCTTTATCGGGGACGCCAGTGCTGGCAGCGGTCCGCAGGCGGGCGACGAATTCGAGCTTAGCTCACCCCACCGACGCAACAGTCGCCCGCTATCCACAGTTGTGCCTGGCTCGAGCATCGAGGAGATCAAGCGGAGTCCACGACCCATTTCCGCGTCGGCGGCGGCGGCTGCCTTTCTGGAGGAGAAGCGACCGAGCTTCGAGAGGAAATCATCGCTGACGTATGACCACGAGCTAAGCGATGCCGCCTTTGCTGCCCAGGTGCTGAGGCCGTTCCATCACAAGTTGGCTGCCGGAAGGAAGGGCTCCGTAAGTGGGGGATCCCACAAACTGAAGAAGAAGTCGCTGAGCGATGAAACCGACGAGGAGGAGGCGGCGGATCGCAAGCGCAAGCGGATCGTATGCATCGTTCTATCCACGGTCCTGCTGTGCTTGGTCTGTGCCAGCGTATTCGTGCTGACCATCACGCTGACCTCCAGCTCCGGCCAGGGCGGAAAGAAGGCGCATTCGTTCAGCAGGGACACACCCGTCCACTGGACGGGCATGCGGCCCTCATGAACTCCAACGCAGAGGCTGTGCTTTGGGCAACTCACCTACCTGCCAGCTGGTTATCCCCTGACTTTGGATTCGATTTCGTTAACGTTTGCGTTTTCGCTTCCGCTTCGAATTGGTCCTGTCGTTCCGCTCTACGTTTTGTTTCCTCTGTGTCTCCGGGTCTCTGGTTGCGCCGGACTGCCCAACTGACGTTCAACGACTGCGGGAGAGGAGGAAATAGAGGAGCTGCAGCAGCAACTAGCGAAGAGTCTGTAAGTAGGCAAGGCCTTGAGTATGAGTTTTTTAAAATATAAATGGATGCAACTCGATTTGTACAGGTCAATAATTCGATTGTTTGTTATGGATTTATTACCAACGACTTGTAGTTAAGACTAACATAATAAGCTTATTTTAACATAAACAAATGGCAATGGCCCTACGTTGGGCGTCAAATTTCTTTTACATTCAATTTTAAAATCAAATATGTCAAAGATATACCCAATACCCTGCTAATTGCGTTTATTTGTTAACAAATCTCAAATCCAAATTATTACCCATGCATATTTAAAACTAAAAACCATGGCATTTCCTTGTTGAAATTCCTTAAACTGCATTCCCTCTCTGCCACATCGATGCAAATCAATAAACGAGGTCAGCTTGGTTTCATTATCGGGCTTAAAGCACCACAGTGAGTGTGGCCATATTGCCATATGTCCTTACAGACCATAAAACTGTGCAAATACAAATATGTATGTCAGCTCCCTTCTGTCCACCAACCAAACGTTCCCCCTTCTTAAACACCGCCCTCAAACAAAGCAAACAAACACAAACACAACGCAGTAGCTGGGAAGGAATTTTCAAATATTGAGCTGGCAAAAGCTCAGCAAAATCTCGAGCATTACATAACTGACTAACTGACTAACTGACTAACCTGCCAGGCAAACACGCACACGGCCATAAAAAATGATGCTGTACTTACTTACCATGACTTTAATGACTTTGACTGCATCAGGAGCCGCAGCATCTTCTTGCCGCAAAGCCAAACTAATCAGCACGTGTGTGCGTGAGGGTATATGGGTGTGTGGGTGTGTGCGTGTGTGCGTGTGCGTGTGCGTGTGGTTGTGTCGGTGAGTGTGTACAAGTGTAAGTGTTATTTAGCCGTGCACAAACAATGCTTAACCGACTCTCAGTGGGTGGCAAAGGGGTGGATAAGGCTGTTGGTGGGTGACTAACTGACCGACAGACAGACAGACAGACTAGCAGGCTTAGCAGCCAAGGCCTGCAGAGACCTTTCCCGTGGTTAGCATGCTCTTTTTTTATACTCTCGCTTAATAGTTTTGTTTGTTAACGTGTGTGTATATGTGTCTGTGTGTGTGTGGGTGTGCAGCATCATTACGGCACGGTACGCTTGGTTTCCTTTTTATTATGTGTGCGTGTGCCCACAGACAGGAGGCACGCTCACACTCATAGCCTTAATTTCACGTTGACGACATGGAAACTAGGTTACTTTTTCAACTGCGCCTCAGTGAGCGCCAGAAAGGGAAAGTGCAACAACAAGAACAACAACGAAAGCGATAACAAGAGCAGCAAAAAAAAAATATATATAAACTAACAACAATTGTTTATTATAAGGCAAGCAGCAACAGAAAAGCAACTCATGCTAGTGACATTGCTCGCCCAGTTGGCCCAGATGGCCTTGCCAAAGCCGAGAGTCCCGTGTGACCGCTAAAGTCCCCAAATTGCCAAGCCCACTTGCAAGCTGCAACATACACATAAAAAATGCGACAAATTGACAGTTCGCACAAGAAACTTTTAGGTCAGGAAAAATGCCAGCAGGAAAGTTACATTCTCCCTTATCAAAAAGTTCAATTGCAAGCTCTAACAGAAGCCACTTGATCAAACTGCAGAAGTTGCAAACATATTGGTGATAGAATATATCTTGTGGATTGCCCATTCCCCAGTAGTGTGATTAACTTGTAGCCTAAGCTCCAATCGAAAAGTTTAGCTGTAAGATTTAAAAGGAACCGCAACACATTGTTGAAAACTATAAGCATACAATCCGAGGCCATACGTTGGGCGCCATTTTATTTGTACAGAGCCATTCATTTATGCAACACTTCTCAATGCAATCTCATCTCGCTTAGTTATTATTTACACTTGAAGTAGCTTCCATTGTGATATTCATAATTGAAAGCAATAATGGACGAGTTGTTACAACAAGCTTTCCATTACCAAGGCAAAACTGTTGCATGTTGCAACTGCATCATGCTCTAGTTCAGTCACAAACGGTAGAAAAAAAGCTAATGCCACTGGCAAAGCAGACAGCGAAGGCAACAAAAGTGCATCAATAAATTCAATTTAAAGGTACAATAGATGGCAGAACAATCCCTAGAGCCAGTTCCATTCCCAGGCTGCTAATTAGGCGTCGCTTGCCATCCGTCAGGCAAACTGGCATGACGGCCAGGCCAAAGAATCTGATGGAGTAACCAGAGGAGGGAAGGGGGGAAAGGGGGCCTTTTGCTTTCAACGCCACATTTATAATTAAACAACATGAAAGACAAAGCACCCGACAGACGGAGCAGGCAACTGCACAGAAAGTGGGGGCAGGACGAGGGACAAAGTGGAAGGGCGGGCGTGAGTCTCAAAGTTACTCGGCAGCATTTATGAGCGCCCATAATGGCTGTTAACAATTTAACTTGTTTACCGGTGGGAAAGTTATATGTTAATTGGTCTCGAATAGCCTCGCGCACACACAGGCACACGCGAGCCGGAGCTCCAGCAACTGGGCACGCACATGGCTCACCCACGTCCTTGAGGACAGGTGAATGATCAACTAGGCTATGTCCTGTAAACGAGAAAAGTCAGTAAAAATATAATTTAATTAAGCAAGTTTTTAAAATCTTTAAAATATTATTTTTCTGTTTTTTAATAATTAAAAACAAAGTTTAACATAACCTAATAACACAATTTTTAAAGTCTGCTTTCCGTTATTGATGTATAATTTGTTGCATTTTTTAATCTTTTGAAATTCGTTTATAAACTAAGATTGTTTGAGACTTAAATTATATTATAAACTGATACGAAACCAGGACATTGTGTTGTGTCTAGATTTACTACATACATAATGGTTTCTCTAAGTATTCCTGAGGGCCACATAGACTCTGTGCACACAGATTATTATTAATCTACTATTAAATATTACCAGAACAACGAGCAATTGCAGACCTCCCATCCATGGCCGAACTTTAGGCCACAAAGCAGGCCAAACGAAGGTGGCATTATGCTGAGTAGCTTCTACTTGCCAGAGCAGCAACAAAGCCGGCAACAAACAGCACTCGGCCAAGTGAATAATGGCAGGCATCGTCACCTGTTCTCAGGCCTCCACTTTGGCTTTAACACGTTGCGATTACGCCTCATAGCCCATGCAAAGGCATGAGCTGGGGGAATGACGATGGAGGATGGTGCCTAGTGTTGCTAGCCTGGACACATCGTGGCCCAGCGGTTGGAAACCACCATGTGGCCTTTGGCCCATATATGCATATGAATTTGATGACGACAGCAGCAACAGCTTCAAAAGCAACGGCAACAGCAACAGCAAAATGATGTTGCATCGTGGTTGCCCTTCCACTCGTTAAAGTCGCTGGCTGCGGTTGGAATTGGGATTACTAATTTTTGCAATTAAATAAGAGCGTAAAATGGGTAAAATTACTTAAATTTTTGCACTAACCCTGCAGCAAAGTGTCTGTGTGTGTGTGTGTGTTTGTGTTTTTGTTTGCGTTGGTCGTTTGGTCTGTTTGGTGGCTATTTGGGGCAAGAATTTTTTAATTAAATTTCAGCCGAGCGCATACGCTGTGCAATGGCAACAATATACAATATATATATAAATATCATCCCATAGTAACTCTCTGAATTAGCAGCTTTTCCGGCAAATCAATCAAATTACCACACACAAACACAATACCAAACTTTAAAACACAAAACAAAGAACTTAAACTATTCGGGGGTATTCAACAGTTTCACATGAAACGGCAACTGTGACTGTATTGTCTGTGTGTCCGCGTCGTGTATGTTTGTGATTGATTGGCAAACAAATTTTGACACTTTACACAACACCCACCGGCAGGTAACCAATGTTTGTCCAACCGATTCCTCCCCTCCCCACCGATTTGCACTCCCATTCCCATTTCCTTAGCCAGTTTGTTGAGCGTTAATTAAAACTGCTGTAAAATGCACAAAAGCGTTGAGCAAACAGCAACCGAGACGACAATCGCAGGGGGTCATGTCATGGGGGCTTTCGAGGGTGTAAAAAAACGGGACGAGTACCGTGTGTGATAGGGGGGATATGTACTTGATATGTGTACACATATGCGAACGTGATAACCCAATGCGGAAACGGAAATAAAAACAGCGGGCAGATGAAAAATGTTGGACTGTGTTTAAAGTAAATAGTCTGGATTGATGAAAATTGTATTCGAGAATTCATCAACAGGCATTTACTTCAACTGCAGTTCGAACGAAATGCAACAGGATAATAACGAGTGCGCAGTGAATATTTACTAATACTTAAGTTTACCTAAGAACTTGTTCCATAAGAGTTTTACCAACATTAGGCTCATTTACCAAAATACTGACTAGCTCAAAAGCAGTAAATTTTTATCTTTTCAAGGTGCATGTATTACATTTAAAAAATATATAATTAACAAATACAAATATTTGCGTTTAAGCTATGAGTATAGTTTGGCAAATGAGCTAAAGATAATAAGATAGTAAATAAGAATGTGCAAAATATAGTTAAAAAATATTTTTAAAGCGCTTTGCAGTAGGGCAACTAAACTGTATTTTTACACAAAGGATTTTCATTTCCCCCGATGCAATTCAAGATCACTTACATTGATTTCTATCGTTGACAGTGCGACAGGAAAACGAGAGGAGCTACCGCGAGAATCTGGAGCGCACCTTGATGATGAAGAACCGCACCGAGCTGAATCTGCAGCGCCACCAGATGGGGTTGCAGCTGCAGCACGTCGTTCCATGAGCGTTCCATTAGCGTTCCATGAGCGAAAGGAAGGATGTGACACCGCTGCACCAGATGCGACCGGATGCGATGGCAGCAGAAGCTGCTGGAAATGTCAGCGGTTGGCAAGAAGTTTGTGGCAGGAAGCCGGAGGACCCTTCCTTGTCCCATTCCCTACGCCAACCCCCCCAACCATCCAACCTACTCCTTTTTTGCCCCGCCCTAATCAAAGTTATGCGCACAAATGCTACAAAGAATAACAAAGAATACAAGAAATCAAAACAAAAGAAATTGTTAACTTAAAAATAAATAAGGATGGAGCACTCCGAAGTGCTCGGCTAAAGCTAAAGTTAATGCTAATTGTAGTTAAGTCTGCCCACGCGGAAATCACTTGTTTTGTATCTAACTGAAAGGTAGACTCCACTTAGAGCAAAAAAAAAAGAAATAAAAGAGGATGGTCGAAGAAAATCAAAAGTGATGCTGTTTAGTCAATAGTTAAAAACGTTGTTTATAGAGTTACTTCGATGGCATTTTAAATGTTAGGCCAGGGACGTTCTGGTTTTCAAATTCGACCACATATGATTTCTAGTGAGTTAGAATCATTTGCAAGTGTTTCGACAATTATGCAAGAGTAGTTTTTATTCCAAAAAACCACATGTACAAAAATAGTTTGTACATTTTTTTCACAGCATAATTTTGGATACACTTTTAAGTGACTTCAAATCACTAGAGATTTCTTTACTTAGCGATTATTTTATTTCATGTAAAAAAAAATACTTTGTTATATAAAAGCCTGATAAAAAACTTTTGACAATTAAAGAAATTCACAAATTAAATATTATTGCTCCAGCGAAATTGTTTACCAGAACGAACTTGATTGTCCTGTAATTATTGTGCTTAGGATATGATCTAGTTGAGGCTGCAGGACGACGCCAAACGGAAGGAGCAGTTAAGCGAAAGGTTTCGATTGTTCAGTTGATTAGTCAAATGGTTTCAATTTTTTCTTTAGCAGAGCTTTCCCCCTTTGGTTGTCCCACCCGAAAACTCCATCCAAGAATGGCGTCGACTGGGCAGCTGGCGAGAGAAAAAAAGTTGGTCAATAGTTATGTCTGAAACTAAGTTGTTAACTGAAAAGTACTCCTAAGTAAATGTTAATAGCCATAAACAACAGAAAAGTTTTTGTATCTCTTAGACGGTGTTGAAGAAGCGGTGGAGGGAAGCAAAGTAAGCAAAAGTATCCAGTATTCCAAGATACATTTTGAGTAAAAATACGATTTTCATAGGTTAACAATAATTGCAAAAGAGCAGCAAAGGAACATTCAATAGATTTACTCGTAATTGAATAAAAGCAACTTGTGCCAATGAAAACTTAAGAAATCCTAATGAGAACCTGCAAGATAAGTGGCATAGCGTAATTTAATAAACAATTGAAAATAATAACAAGGAAAAGTTAGTTAATTAGCGGATCGATGTGAAACTGTTACTTAAGTGCAAAACGAGCTTGTTGTCGAATTAATTTTTAAATGGATTTAAACTAAGTGAAACTAAGCTAAATGTTAAATGTTTTTTTAGGTGTTCAATGTTATAATTAATTTGTGGTCGAGCAGCCGAAATGAGGTAGAATTGATTGCCCAGCCTTTACCAAATGAATAATTTTACGAACCTGTGCTAACTCAGTTGCAAAGTTTAACGACAAAATTTAGCTTGAAGCAAACTTCTATCGGTTTCAGCCAACAGAGCGTTGAAAGCTTGAACAGAAAGTTGTGAACGAACTCCCCTGACCGCCCATCACCCTGCCCAATTAACAATTATCCGGAAATGTATTTTCAAGCGCAAATGTTCTTAATATTCACCCGAATGCACAAAAGCAATGTAATAGGTTTTTGGACTCTGGCGTTAAATTAATGTGGGACCGACAGATAAGCAAATTAGTTCATTTTCACAAAGTTTGCACATGTATATATATACCTATGAAAACATGATATAAATACAAAGAGAAAATAACAAACTTTAAGAATTACAAAAACTGCACTCATCAGTATTATTTTACTTTCCAAATACTTGTTAGCATATTTTATTTTTATTTAACAATTTTTAAACTTGTTACCTACAATTTGCAAGTAGCATGGAATTGAACAGCAGAATAATAACGAAGCTAAATAACAAACATTTCATGTTGATACAAAATGTATTTTACATCGCCTCCATTTAATTTTGCGACAGTCATATATAGAATTAATTTCTTGCTTTCAAGCTTACTATTTATATTTTCTCAGTATACAATTTTGTATATACTTGAGGCAGTTGGCGGGCAGGGAAGCTTGTGTTCAACGATGGGCAGGACGAAAACAAATGGAAAGCTTTAAATTAGCTCAATAAATTGTAAAATTATACATTTAATCTACTTAGAGCGGATCGTTGTTAAATGCAATGCAAGTACGTCAGAGACAGAAACTCACACACCTCATTCAGACTTATAAGATTTGCATTTCGGACTAGGAATCAATTTCATATTCAACCTGACAAAGAGGCTAAACAAATTCAAATAAGCAAGGCAACAGCGAACGAATACTTAAAATAAACAATCAAGCAAAACATTGTACTTAGTAATTGCATTTAACAAGTGGGACAGAGAATGTTAACTAGGTTCGCATAATTGATTTAACTGCATGCTTAAACTTACGAAAGTAAACGAGATGTTAACTGAACGGAGGTAAAAGAAAAACCTAATTAAAACAATACAAACAATGTCTGTAATTATGGCTAGCTAAGTGTAAAAATATAAGCTGAATTATTATACAACCAACTACAATCGAAGCAAGTAAATTGATGTAATTGAAATACTCGAAACGTTTTAGGGCAAAATACCAATGAATAATGACACAGGTTGAATACAAACACGCAGCAAGAATAAATTAATAAATAACGAAATTATTTCTCGAGAAAAAATCAAACTTTTTAGCCTTTGAACGAGAGACTTTTGGTGCCCAATCCAGTTTGAGCAATTATTTACAAATAAAAAAACACAAAGAAAGACACTCACAACAGAATAACACACCACATGCAGATGTATTGTAAATAGAACAAGAAACCAAATGAGTAAATACCAAGTAGGTATATAAATAAATAATGAGAAGGCTTATCCAAGTAAATCAACATTAAATAAATTAACAACGGAAATCAAACAAAAACAGGTAATACTTCAACTTGTGTGCAAGGAATCAACTTTTAATGTTAATTGTTGCTGGCAATGCAAAACGCAAAGTCAACCGAAAAACGAAAAACAAAAAACAAAAAATTACAATAAATAAACCATGAAAAATGCAAAACAAATATATTTAAAAATACATTTGAACGCCTTCAGCGTTTTATTCATCAAGCAAGAAATGTTGAATCGAAAGAAAAAGTCAAACAAAAGCCATACAAGCGATAAATCAATTTGTGTCACCTGTGTAGTAAGTATATCTCAGTATTTGTAACTGAAAATGAAAACGCGTTGAAGTGCAGGCATCAACCACAACAACAACAACAACAACAAAAGAAAAATCAAATGAAAATAAACTGAATTTACAAGTGGACTTTGACTATTATTTACGAGGTCGCCAAATCGGTTTACTCCTGGGGAGAAATATTTCTTCATTCACAAAGTAAGTACCTGTCGAATTTCAACATGCTCGTTTACTTGTTTATTCAAAATAAAATGGATGGAAACAAGAGCTTGTCACTTCGTGGATGGTTTTATTTCTTAATTTTTTTGACCATTTTTCCTTTAAAAGAGAAAAATCCAAGTAAACGCTGTACTTTTAATAAAAAGCTTTGAATCACTAGTTTCATGACTTTTTACTTTTAGAATTGAATTCCTAATAATCAATTAGAAATAAAAATAAAACACGAAATTTTTTAAATAAATAATAATAAATATTTTAGAAATTAGCGAAGCACCGGTTAGGATCTGCGCATCAAGTTTTTATTTTCATTTAGGTGATTCTAACTTTTTTTATGTTGAACCAAAAACATGGTTTCTTTCTAAAGGTTTTTTGTATAGGTTGTTACCGTTAGGAATGGGAGAATGCATTTATTTTTGTATAAAATTCTACCTGGAAAACGTGTCGTATGAGTAATTTTTCTGAAATCCTTAGATTATTAACAAAAGTAAAAATTCAAGAGAATTTAGAATACACAAATCAAATCCATACAAATTTGAAATCCCTTGGTATGTAAAATTAGTTTTTTGATGAATCAGGAAATCCAACGTTCATTTTTTCACATCATTTATTTATATACAATTTTAAGTGATTTCAAATCAGCAAGTTCCGCCAAATAATGGCATCCAGTTTTGGAGCGCCATCTCTAGAAAGCTTTCGGAACTAAGTTTTCAGTGTGCCCCAAGCTGGAAAAATACCGCAGCCCCAATGGGCTCCAACGAAAATACCAAGCCCCAAACCGATAAACTTCCCCCAAAAGCTCTTCTCGTTAGCTTTTGCCAATGGATCGCCACGAGCTTATCAGACTCGCGATCTGATCCGAAAAGTGGAAACAAAGTGAAGATAAACTAATTAGCAATTAGCCAATGTAAATAGAGTGTTGTCAGCCGACTAGCCGCAGCAGCTGAGCTGATAGTTCCGCTTTTGCCCCGCGTGGAACCAAAATAAACAAGCGAGTGAAAGAAAGCGAAAGATAGGCGGAGAAAGGGGGAGGCGGAGGTGGAGGATTGGACAACGAGGCAGAAACAAAAGCACAAAACGGCGGACAGAACCAGTCGAAACAAAACAACAAACCGGAGCGGACGCACTCGAAAAACGAATAAAATTTATTTCTGTGCTTAGTGTGTGAGGCTGTATGAGCGTGTGCATATGTGTGTGCTGTGTATATTTAAACAATATTTTAAAAATCATACGCCAGACGACGAAAAGCGAAGATCTCCGCTATAGCAAAGCGGAGCAGACAGATAAATAAAAACAGAATTCGAGACAAAAACAACGCGAC